GGTATAAATCTGCTGTTTTACATGATTGTTGAATGAAATTAACATAAATATTAATTTATTGTAAAAACATGACAGATAATCTGTGAAACAGATAAGGTTCAGCTTGTTGTTTATCTGTTAGTTTCTATGGAGGCTGTGAGCTGTTGCCCTTTTAGATGCCATTTTTGCTCCTCCATGCTGTCACAGACTCTACCAGTGTACAGTATGGGCGAGGCTCAGTCTAGTGATCTATATATTAAAGTCTATGATATGAACCTACTATAGCGCCCCCCTCAGCCCCATTAGTGGTGCTGCTGAAGTCTTGAGTTAAAGAGGTGACGTGCTGTTTGTTTTTAAATGTTGTTGTGTTGGCAGTGCCCCAAGTCCTGAAGAGCTGCACAGAGTTTATAGAGAAGCACGGAGTGGTGGATGGGATTTATCGCCTCTCTGGGATCGCCTCAAACATCCAGAAACTGCGGTAAGAAGTAGGGTTGGGCAGTTTTGCTTATTTTTAAATTGCGGTATGACCTTTAGAAAATACCGCGGTATASGATATTAGCGAGTTTTAAGTTTCAAAATAAACTGACTTTTACCGTGGTCATTTCAAAGCTGCTGCATGCTTTTAATAAGAAGGAAGTCTTTGTGCCGATAAAGTTTGCACTTATATCCTCGTCTACAACGCAAGCTCATGGGTCGAAAAACAAAATCACTGAAAGTTTAAATCCAAAGGAGTCCCACTCTTTGCCCGCCGCTGGTTGGTCTGTGAAGCTGTCTGTCAGGGCTATGAACTTGTCGGGCTGCAAAAGCTTGTTAAGAGTTGTTGTTTTTTTACCCCGCATGGAGGCAGGATGGATGGGGTGTCTCTGTCTATACCGCAGTATAACAAAATACCTTCATACTGCCCAAGCCTAGTCAGAAGAACCTTATTTACCTACTTGTGGTGGACATTTCATGTTATCTGATTCAAGTCTTTTTTTTGGTAAATTGAAAACACTGAAATGATATAAATATGAACTACAGAAAATGTGTTCAATCACTTCCTTCCTTACAAATCCCTTTGGTCCAAATGGTTCAGGTCAAACACTTAATGTACCACTTCATTAGAGAACTGTACTTGGAGTAATCTGTTCTTTAACTAAGTGGTCTGAACTAATATAGGGCTTTATCAAGCCTCCGTCATTTTACTGTTGGATGTTTGAAAGATACAAACTGATGAGTGTTTTTGTTATTTAGCTCAAAAATGTTTGTTGGTATAAATGTGCTGGACTGTTTGTCTCTCCATCAGGCATGAGTTTGACTCTGAGCAGATTCCTGACTTGACCAAAGATGTTTACATCCAGGACATCCACTGTGTCGGCTCGCTGTGTAAGCTCTACTTCAGAGAACTGCCCAACCCTTTGCTCACCTACCAGCTCTATGAGAAGTTCTCTGTAAGTACTACTCTACTTTCTGTGTACAAATACTATCACTGATATCTATCATGGAGTCAGATTTTGTGTATTTAAATATAAGGTGATTTATACCGTGCAACGTGTCTCATGGGMGAAATGTTTTTGTCACCCTGCCTCAGAGAACCTGTTTTGTGCACAAACTGCTGTCAGAACTTTTTCTCTCAGGACTATCAGGGTCAGACCCAACTCAAATGGGCACGTCTTCATATCTTTGAATGGGGACAAAACAACCCTCGCCACAGCAACCYAAGCACACAGAGGGTCAAGGTTCACACCGACGTGACCCTCTCAGCCCCGTCTCCACATTGGCCAAGACCCTGTGAGTCTGACATTTTCTGGCAAGGAGCAAGAAATTCCCAAAAGTTGACCAATTCTGCCAAAATCCACCAGATGGAGCACTTTTCGTAGGCAAAAAAWTTTTTCCAGCTTTCTCCCTAGTGAAAAGCTGATTTATTTTTTTTACCCTCACTGGCTCTGTTTTAGCCCTCACGTGTCAAATAAATTGTCTGAGACTTAGTTTTTCAATGCCCTTGAAAGGTCAAGTCATGACCCTGTGGTCAAGGCATGGTCTATGCCCAAACAATACCAGTCTAAGACCAATGCAAAAGTATTGTCTGTGCCCGTACAGTACCAGTCCATGCCTCCTACACACGTGAATGTATCCAGTGTTCCACGTGCCCGTACAATTCCAGTCTGAGGCTGTGCCCAAATTCAGAGGCTGGGTCCCCCAAAGGACCCGGTCTAGGTAGGCATGGTCCTTGTTAGGCCGCGAAGACCGGAAAAAGTGGCTGTGAATTTGGACGGTCTAGCCTCCCATCCTTACCCCGGAGTACATCCTGCCACCTAGCAACTGTGACGATGCTACACAGAAGCAAAATTAGATCAAAAGTAGAAAAAATATCAACATATCAGCATTATTAATATCACAAAACAACAAAATGCACTTAAGGACAATATTTAAAAAACTAATGGACCTGCCGTAAACCGCTTGAAACTTGTAATTTTTATACCACCAGATTTTTATTTAAAGCATATAATTTTCTCTCCCTTCGTCCACCATAACTAGCAGAAAAAAATCTTCGGTCGGCCCACAATGCATTATGGGATATGGTGGACTGAGAAGGATCCATCAGACCAGTCCTTCAAATCAGGGCAAAAGAAGGACGCCTTTGTCTGCCACATCTGAGAAGTCTTCGGATTTGGACAGCCTCCGGCACAGCACTGTGACATAAGCGGCTGACAAATTCATTCTTCACAGGACCTAGCCTCTGAAGTTGGAAACAGTCTATGACAATGCAAAAGTATGGCCCGTGCCCGTACAGTGCCAGTCTATGCCTTCCACACATACTGTATTTATGAATGTAGCCTAAATGTTCCACGTTCCCGTACAATGCATTATATGACCCATCCAAAACTATTTTCTGTGGCCTTACAGTACCAGTCCTTGCCTCCAACACGTGAATGTAGCCAGTGTTCCACATGCCCATACAATGCCAGTCTATGACAATGCAAAAGTATAGCCAGTGCCCGCACCGTACCATTCTGTGCCTTCACTATATATGAATGTAGCCTAAGTGTTCCATGTGCCCATCCAATGCAGTTCTAGGACCAATGCAAAAGTATTGTCCATGCTTGTACAGTGCCAGTCTAGCCAAAGTGTTTCAAGTACCATACAATGCCAGTCTACAACCAGTTAAGGGATAAAGATGGTACAAATTGGTATTTTATTGGCACCTCCTTTTGTTTTCAACAGGAAACAACTCTTAAGTATTGACCTTGCCCCTGCAGTACCAATCCCAGCCTAATTAAGGGATAGAGGGCATCAAGTGGTATTATATGGGCCCATAACCTACCACTTTGTGCTATCCTTTTCCATATAGTTCTGTGTTCATAAAAACAGACCTTGAGTGGTGGTAGGATGGAGTGGGAGATGGATTGATGGACTGGGGCCTTGTCCTCAGTCATGAGGGCGTTACTATGGTCAGTCGTGGTGAAGAAAGAGCTGAATCAAATGTCAAAGCTCTAGATTTACTGATCCGTCTATATCGCAACCCTCACCTGTGGCCACGAGGCGTGGAATATGACCGAAAGAACGAGATCCTGGTTACAAGCGGCTGAAATGAGCTTCCTTTGTACAGTGGTTTGCAAAAGTATTCATACCCCTTGAACTTTTCCATATTTTGTCACATTACAACCACAAACATAAATATATTTCACTGGAAT